AACTTTTGCTCAAGCATACTTCCTTCAACATTGAAGTGAATGGTAGAACTTGTTCAAGCAGGAACACTTTGCAAGACCTGCAATATCCTCAGACCTCTGGATCTGGGCATTGTGAGTTGATCTGCTGAAGCAGAATAATTAGGGGCAATCAACAATTTCTGTGATCCCCTCCAAACAGATCAGTAGGAAAGATATGTTCCATTACAATTTAGCTAATGCTTCAGATTTTTTAAAATTGTAGTTATGAGTAACTAGAAGCATCACCAAATAGGGGGAAAAAAAATAAAGCTTTAACCAGTTATTGCTCCATGATTTGACACATTACTAGGCTGAAAGAGCAAGACATGGTAATTACAAACTGCAATATGAATTACAGGGACCGCCAGGATTAAGTACCATTCATGTTACTAAAATTAAACATGTAGCCAAGAGTCAAAAACAAGTTTAGAAATTGTGGCTCCAAGAAAACTAAAACTGAAGAATGGATCTTTAAAATAAAAGCCCAAGTAGAGTAATTATGAATAATGAAAGGCAGACCACTATCACATTTCAAACAGCACTACCGATGACAAAAAACATAATCCCACTTTCCCAGCCATGACAACTGAGTTTACAAAACTGCTGCTATATCAAACTAGTGATGAAATGAACGTTGGGATCAGTTTTGAGGTACAAGCTGAAAACCAAAGAAGAAACACACATGACATGGGGGAAATCATAGGCTCAATAAAAACGTTGCTGGCTTTAGTTGGTGCTGTCTACTGTGAAAATGACTATGCTCTAGTTTCATGAACTGTTTGTCTCTTTGATGCTAAGAATTGCTCCGATGAAAACAATAGTTCTGTCCCATGTGTGTATATCCTTTGTGCAGATCCAAGCTGTATGTAAAAGTATCATTGAAAGCCAAAAGAGAAAGCATATTAACACTCAGGACACTGAACAAAATAAAAGAATGCCTATAAAATCAAGTATTACACAACCCAGTGTCATCTACTCAGCAACTGGTTTGGTCAAAAGGCACCTTGAACAGGCCAAGGCATTCATTTCCCACCCATTAGATGGCCTGCTTCCAAATCCAGTTAATTCAGCTGTTCGTCCTCTAAATCTCCTATTTGCATCTTGGTTGATAATTGGTAAACCAGATAATATGCCTCAAAGGGGAAGATTTGGTTTAAGGCCCTCCATCTGCTGATCTGGTGCATCAACAAAACATCCATCACAGTCACTACCTTGAGTAGTAATCAATTTTTAGGAGTAACAGGATCAGTAGGGCTCAGGAATTAATTAGAGCCAACAGCTCATGCTATTCAGTGACTGTGCAAAGCACATTAAAATTACTGACTCGCTGAATCTAAACAGAATACAAGGAATTTAGTTCTAGTGGGGTCAATGGAGAACAGAGTTACATAGAGCGACTCCTCAGCAAGGATGAGAATATTGACTGGCACCCCATAAGTGATTCTTGAACACAGCTTCCTTGGTTAATATTTTGTTTCTGCAGAGCCCCATTTTCAAAAGTTAATGGAATGCAGGTTGTCATGCGAAGGGCTGAATAATAATTCCTGGGGAAATATCATCCATTTTTGTAGGAGGGAGGGTTACTTCTTTAGTTAATTTTTTTCTTCTGGAAGATCAGAAATCAGGGCAACTTGTTAACATGTTTCTGGACTACTTCCAAAGGTCCTAACCAGAGAACTTCTAAATCATATGTAAGGGGAAAAAGGCAAGATTTTGAAGCGCATCTGTATCCTTGGCATGTACTCAATATGGCACAGACAACAAAATTATGCTGTGTTACACTGTACACTATGTCTGACAGGAATCGCTTTTGACAGCATGTGTCTCTTTAAATTCCCCCTTCAGTCACACACTAATTAAACTCTGTGCAGTTGCTAGAAACCCAAATTAAACTTTGCAATTCATTACTTTTGATTTGATGTCAGCGACGCATCCATTTTCTTGTTGATGTTTCTGCAGAGCTTGCTCAAGGACTGCAGTCTCTTACAATGCACTGTTGCCCACATTATCGCAAGGTGAAAGATGGTGACACTCTACAGTAATGTGAACTGAAGTGGTAACCGGTATGTTGCAATGGTGTCGCTGCACTATGGAGGGAGCCTTGTGTCCCTCCGCAAAGTCAGGGCCTGTCAGGAAGAGGGAAGGAGCCTTGGACTTGCTGTCAAGAACAGACCTTCTTCCAGACCAAGGAATATGGCTCTGGGGGCAAGCAAGGAGGGATCCTTTCTCAGAAGGCTGTCCTGGCAGATGTGAAGGGAGAAGCAAGAGGAAAAACTGATGGGATCAAGGAACGAAGGAAAGGCTGGTCTTGCTTCCCTCTTCTGCTTTCCATGCATTCTGCACATCTCTGCATCTAGGGGCTCCACCCCATTCTGGCTCATTCCATTCCTAGCTAGGGGTTACACAGGCAAATACAGAAGGATGAGCCATGCTGCTTGGGCATGGTAGGCGCTCCACTGCCTGAACAAAAGCCTGGTTTGTACAAGCAGCTGATGAGATGGCAGGCCTTTACCTAAGCTGTACCACTTCAGACTGCAGGTGGGAGCTGACATACACACTGCAAATAAATTTCCCACAAAGTGAAACTAGAAGGGAGAGAGAAAAGTTTCAGCCTAGCTTTCTCCCTAGCATGTCAGTTGTCTAGACACAGACAGTTTTCTCTTACAGAGAAGCATTTGGTCCAATAAGACTTCATCCCACAGTCTGAAATGGAGACAGGTGAGGCTCAGGTGCTGCTTGTGACAGCTAAGCTTAAGTCTGCTAACACAAAAGACAGATTTAGATGGAGACAGGAAGGCAGAGTAGAACATAGGGTTCTCATTCTTCAGGCAGGGGCAGGGGATTCCCTGCTTTTGGGGGCTTCTGCCCGCCGCCATCCAGCTGGCTGGTGAGGGGAACCCCACCCCAAACAACAATGTCATGCAGCAAAGTCCCCAACATAATGATGTCCCATGAAAGTGACATCATGTCAGGAACATAGTACAGTGATGCTCTGGTTTTTGGACAAAACCCTATGGTTTGAGGGCAATTTTACCATAGAGTTTTGCCCTCAAACCAGAGTGTTGCCACATGCTGTCCCCAATGTGATGATGTCACTTCCACGTGACGTCATCACGTCGGGGACATTGCCACACAACGTTGCTGTTTGGGGCAGAGCCCTGCCCTACTCCCAGAAGGCTCCATCCCCTGCTTGTGTGTCATCAAGACCTGGCAACCCTAGTAGAACAAGTAAATATAGCTTCCTGGACCAAAGAAGGCCTATGGTTTTCCAAAAGCTGTGTAAGGAAGACCAAAGTGTATAAAGGCATGATGTGTTGAGGAAGTAGCAGGATCATGACCACTGGACTGCCCCCAACTTATGTGCTTTTATTGTATTGCCAAAGAGCATACATGTGTTAACAGTTATGCTTTGCTTCAATGTTGGCTCTACAACCCAAATCCTATTTCATTGTTTATTGAATGTCCCATTCTGTTGATTGTACTAACTCACTCTTCATAATCCACCTTCAGTCCCAGTCAGAAGTCATTCCGGGGGGGATCGCGGGGGATCGCGGGGGATCACAGTTCCCCTGGGTGAGGTACAGGGGGCGGGCACACGATGAAGCCCCGCCCCCTGCTTCCGGCCGCCCCGCTTCCAGCCCTCATTCAGCCAGGAGGAGGCAGGAGAAGAGGGAGGGTAAGTTGCTTCCTCCCTGCCTCTCCCCACCCCTGCCTGCCTAGGGCCAGGGAGGGCCTTGGCAGGGCTTCCTTGCACTCCCACCGGCCTTGCAGGTCCACCGTCGGGCCCCTGATGTCCGGGGGGGGGGCATATGCTAATGAGTTATGAACAATCCATACAAGTCTGACAAGAGACTGTTTCCGAAACCCTCACCCCAGGAACTGTCCCAAAATTGTTCTTAAAATGGATCTGAAAGACTTTAGTAGCAAAGAATCTTGTAAAACAGCCCCAAGGGACTACAGATATGCTGAATTGAGATGGGACATTGCTACACTTCTTGTGGACTTGCAGCATTACTGCACCATTCTGGCAAAAGACAGGAAAAAATAGATTTTGTCCTGGACTCAGCTTATCAACACTCAGCTTCCAGCCTAGTATTAGGCCACGTACTCTTCATGCGGGAAATATCACTGGGACAGAACTTCAGACTGCATGGGCTGTCGCTAACTGTCAAACACTTCAGCCCCTCAGTGTTGGAAAGCTGTAACTACACCAAGGCTTGGACACTTGAATAACCACTGAACATGGCAAAGAAGGCAAGTATAGCATTGAATACATGGGATGCAAGAATGAAATTCAGTTGTATTGGGGTTGATTTTTATCCCTTTAAGAAAATTGACAGAGTATTTATTTGTATTCGCCCCTTTCTTTCTTCTTTGTCTTGGTCAGCCTTTCTCTTCACTGTTTAGGTCTCTTGTGTATACCCATGTTTACCCCATACCAGAAATGTTACAACAAATTTACTTAAATGAATTTTTAAAAAGCCAATACACGAACGTTCCAACGATTGAGCCTGCTTGTGTGAATTGCTCCCCCCCCATTTTTTTTTTTAATTCGTCCCTTTCTTTCTTCTTTGTCTTGGTCAGCCTCTCTCTTCACTGTTTAGGTCCCTTGTGTATACCCATGTCCACCCCGTACCAGAAATGTTACAACAAACTTACTTAAATGAATTTTTTAAAAGCCAATACACGAACGTTCCAACGATTGAGCCTGCTTGTGTGAATCGCTCAGCAGCACCTACAGCCTCACACATATTAAATGAGAACTGTGGTTTATTTCACAGAATTGCTATCCAAAATAACAGGGCTGTTCCCTTTGAGAAAAACAAGGTATGACTCTTCTAAACAGAGGCGAAAAGACACTCAAGCTGTTAACACTAAAAATCAAATTACGCCCGCGTAGGGAATAGCCTCCTCCCTCAACTGCCCCACTTACAGACGCTTACTAATTACGCCACCTTTTCCAGCCCCATGCGCGTAACCGGTTGGATAGGAACGCACCACCCCCTACAGGCGCTGAAAGTGCCCCGCTACCCCTTGGGAGTTGTAGTCCTTTTAACAGCTTCTTGCGCCAGAAAACAGAAGCCTCCGGAAACCTCATTTCCCACGGTCCGTCTCTGCCGAAGAGAACCACTAGAAGGACTGCCTTTTCTCGAAGGCAGCTCGAAGCCGTAGAAAGACGTGCAGGTTGCAACTTGAGTCTAATGAGAGAGTTGCGGAGGGGAAGCCATTAAAGCAGAAGTGGATTCCTTTAGCGCGGCAGCTTCTGCATTCTCACTTCTAGCGACAAGGTGACAGCAGGGTCTTCTGTGCTTGTCATCTCTACTGTTATCGTCCTCGCCGAGGACTTGACCTGAGACTTTTCCCGGCTTACCCGGAAGGTCCCCGTCTCAGACAGCATGAGTCTGTGGGCTCGTGCGGGCATCTTGGGCGCTCTCGCTTGCTACGTGCACGGCAGGCGGAGAGCCCTGGCCGAATCGAGTCGCAAGTTCAGTCAACACGGTGGCAAAGACCAGCCGGAGCTGAAACTGGTGCTGGTTCTCTTTCGGCACGGAGCGCGCACGCCTCTCCGGGCCATCCCCGATGTAGAGCAGGTGAGCCCGGGCTGCTGGGATGGAAGACAACCCGGCTGTGCTTTGCAAAGTGGGACGGCGGCGACACGGGAAGCGGACACGGCAAGCGGACCGCACAGCTGCCATGACCCATCGGGGGGTCCCCCTCACATTAACCTCAAAACCATAAAAGGAGGGAGGGGCATGCCTTGTTCAAGTCCGTGGCCCCCCGGAATTTCTTCTCTCTCTCTTGGTACCATCTTATAATAGCCAGTGGGTTGGTTGTGGTTTTTTTTTTTTTATTTTTAGCAATCCTTAATTATCTTTGTAAACCCAGTATTCTATGGCATTTATTTGTAAATTGCTTTTGATCCCACTGGGGAGAAAAAGAAAGGTATAGGTATCTAAACAAGCGTCATAAAACGAGAGCCCAGTTCTCTAGTGAGTTAAGGACAAGAGGCCAGGTGTTAACCAGGGACTTCCCTGTTTTCACAGTTCCTAGTACCAAGACTAGGTATCACAGCCCTTGAGGGGGGTGCTGCAGTTTTTCAGGCAGGTTATAAAACCAGGCCATTTAAAATGGCAGAGCACAAGAGGGATGGCCTAGCCACAGCAGGTGCACTGTTTTGCTGATGGATCAAGGTACAGAAAGTGTGGAAACAGCACAACTTTATGCCACATGTCTACATTCTGACGTGTAGTTCCTGTTAGGCCTGGAAACCTAAGCTGTTGTAGAAACACAAACATGTTGATGGTGGTGGGCAAAGTGTAACTGTATCAAAGTCACATGGGCAGTATTGATAACAGCCAGTGGGATGTAGTGGAGATGCACATGCACCGCATTTCAGACTAGAGCAAGGAAGGCCTGTGTTCAAATTCACACTTGGCCATGAAGCTTACCGGATGACCTTTGAGCCAGTTTGGTGTAGTGGTTGAGTGTGCGGACTCTCATCTGGGAGAACCAGGTTTGATTCCCCACTCCTCCAATTGCAGCTGCTGGATGACCTTTGGCAAGCTATAGTTCTGACAACAGCTGTCCTTGAAAGGGCAGTTTCTGTCAGAGCTCTCTCAGCCCCACCTATCTCACAAGGTGTCTGTTGTGGGGAGAGGAAGGGAAAGGAGTTTGTAAGCCCCTCTGAGACTCCGAGTGAAGGGCGGGGTATAAATCCAATCTCTTCTTCTTCAAGTCACTTAGCCAGCCTAATGTACTTATCACATATTGCATTCTTATTCTGCCCTTCTGTGAACCATACATGGTTCTCCTGTGAACCATACATGGTTCTCCTGTCAACTACCCTCTGAGGTGGGTTAAGCTAAGCGTGGTTGGCCTCAGGGGACTCAGGATTCCTTATGGCTGAGCGGGGGCAGGGTTGTACTCCTAACACTGCATCACATGACTTCCTAACAGGGTTAATTGAGGATAAAATTGTGTTTTTATATGTGTAAACCATTCATATAGCCCCAAACTCCTTCAAGGAAGAGTAAGGGGGGATCTTGTAAATACCTCAGGAACCTGTTTTTACTTTAAAAAAAATAAAACTATGTTATGTATCTCATATTATCTAGAACAGCACTTACTTAAATCTGACCATTTCTACAATAGAGTTGGTACCTTACCTCTGTTTGGGTACAAATTTCTGGTTTTGTTTCTGTACTGTAGATGGTAGACTGGGGAAAGGGAAGGAATGTATTAGGCTAGAATGAGAGTCTCTGATCTTCTTTTGACCAAAGCTTTCCACAGACACTGCCATTCATAAATATTGAATCTGTTACTAAGAAGGTTTTGTTGTTTCTGCTCACCCAATTCCCGAGTCTTACTAACTTAAAAAAACTCAGTTGTATTGGGAGGGGGGGAAGGTGGAAATAGCCTTTAGGTTTCTAAGAACATGCTGCACCTGAATAGCCATGAGCTATTAACAGCAGATGTACTTTCAAGTATAAACATAGGAAAGGATTAATGACATTCCAAAGATGCAGAAAGCTCTATTGAATCTTTAATGTTCAAGTATTGTCTGCAATATTTCCAAGGCAAGTGTTCAGCACATGGACTTCTATAGCTGAATGTAGATGAGTACAACATTTAAATCAGTGGACAAGACCCATCTCTAATTGCTGATGTTCTTGTTCTCTTTGCATCTCTAGAGTAATTGAGAGCAATCCTAAGCAGGTCTACTTAGAATCCTACTGCAGTCTGTTCAATGGGGCCTACTCTGAAGAAAGTGCTCTTAGGATTGGCCAATAAGTGCAGTATTTCAGCCAGGACTTCCTCTAGTTGTAATTTAGCAAGATTTCCTGAAGTTATGTTGTATGTTTCAGAATACTAATCCTTATACATCTCCCAGTATTTTGCAACAGCACAGCCTGCCTGTTAACCTAGATGCCATTGTGTAATCCGGGGTCCCCATCGTGGCATCCACAGATACTTGGTGGGCACCAGGAAAGCTATTTATAGAAAATGGCCCGGGCCAGCAGGCCGATTGGCTGTGCAGATTTTTTTAAAAATGTTGTTTTGGCAGCATCTGCCACCATAGCAGAAGGGTCTTCAGTGCATGATGGACAATTAAGCTGTGTGTATGTAAGAAAATATTTTTAAAATACAATGTTCATTTTTAAAGGTATCCCATTAAACAGAGCTTCTGCCTGAAATGTTGAAGTGTTACTATTAGAGTTAAGCATAATCTCATTACCTGACGTTTTGTGGTTGGCATTTTATGTTTGCATAAACATTTGGTGTGGTGTCAGAATTCCAAGGTACCTACAGGCTTAAAAAGACTGGGGACCCTGGTGTAATCTGTATATTTTAAACCTACTAGCTTTTTCCAAGCCTATTAATTTAAGCCTAATTCTGCATAGGAATAGGCTGCCAGTTTTTTAACTATTTGAAGCTTATATGTTCTTTAAGAACCACTCCCCCACTTTGTTTTTAAACAGGTAGAATGGGATCCTGCACTCTTGGAGATACCTGCTGAAACAGAGTTTGACTATGCAGTGACCGATCTATCCGGGGGTCCAAGGCCTTATTCTCCTTTTGAAGACCAATACAAAAATGTTGTGCTAAAGGTGAGAGACCACTGTAGGTGCATGCATTTTTTTCACTGTTGCGCTGCTTAACACAACTGAAGACAACTTCTCTACTTCCAGGGTGGTGTGATTGCTGGGCAGCTGACCGGAGTGGGCATGCAGCAGATGTTTGCCCTGGGGGAACGGTTGAGGAAGCGTTATATTGAAGACATCCCTTTCCTCTCTCCATCATTCAGGCCTTCAGAGGTCTTGTGAGTCACTTCTTATGCCTATCTGTTTCCTAACTGCTTTTGCACTTCACTTCCCTTCGCATCGAGAGCCTCAGCACACTTTTTACAAGGTCTTAACTGGCCATATCCTTCTAACTTGCACAGGTGTAGGCATCAAGTCCTGTGTGTTTCTAAGAGAATTTTACAGAGTGATATTGATAGCAATTGCCTGGTCTGGTGGTCATCCATAGTCTTCTGATGTCCATTAGGACTCTCCCCCCGCCCATTAGCTTCTATGGCAACAGACAGCCACGTTTACTCCGCTTCATAGGCTGCCTTCTGTCTTTCAGTGTTCGTTCTACTAATATTTTTCGGAATCTGGAATCCACACGCTGTTTGCTAGCTGGACTCTTCCAACAGCAGAAAGAAGGTTAGAAATGAAGGAGAGTTTCTGTTCTCAGTCCTACCTTTGTTTCTCCCGTCATAGACCCTTGTGGCACCGCTGTTCTTTGAATGTCTCTCCCTTCCCCCCCATCAGTTCCTACACTGATTTTTTTCCAACTGCATCTACACTGTAAATTTTATAAGAACAGAAATTTTATGAGAATGCCAAGAATTTCAGTAATGGTTGCCTAGGCCATTGGTTATAATTCACAGTAAAGAAGCTGTGACTTGCAATATCTGTAGTGTAGGCATGTTTTGTATTTTGCTCACTAACCCTGAAAGAGTGCCCTCCCCTCGACTTGCTCCCTCTGGAGCTGCAAGCTTGGTGTTATTAAGAACAGGAATACCAGTTTCAGAAATGTGCAATGAGAAACATGAGCAACCTCAACCTAAATTGCAAAGGCTGTTAAAGTAACTCATCAAACATTTGTGTCTTCTACTGAGAGGGAGCTGGCCTAGAATGGAAGCTGGTGAGGTTGTGGCCCAAGTTTTGAGTCTGGAGAAACAAAAGAGTCTCTGTTTGTTCTCTAGTAATATGAGGGTTTATAACAGGGATTGTTATGAAGGAGAGTAAGATTCACACAGGTTTAGGTGGTTATTATATAGGTACAATATGAAAAAGTCTGTACACTGTCATGAGGTATGTGAAAGCACATGTTAACATTGGCATATTTTGCTTAACACTTACTACAGTGGGTTCTGTCTCTTGTAAAGGCTTGAGAGCATACAAAGTACAGAGGAAGTTCCCTAGTTACTTTTACACAAGTCAGGATAGATGGAATGGTTGGTTGATGATACCTCCCCCCAGGGGTCTTGTTGTAGAAAAAGAGCTGCCGGAGCTCATTAGCATAACTCATTAGCATAACTTATTTGCATATGCCACGCCCCCTGACATCACCGGAAGTGACAGAAGGCCACACCCCCTGACATCACCGGAAGTGTGTCAGAAGGCCCGGCTACTTACCCTCCTGCTTCATCCTCATTCCCAAACGGAATGAGGATCGAAGCAGAGGGCAGGGTAAAGAAGGGGGCGGGGCTTCACCACGTGACCGCCCCGCCCCCTAGAGGTTCTCTTCCGGAGCTCCGTACCTGAGAGCTCCCCCCCGACTAGAGCCCTGCCTCCCCCCAAACTCCCAAATTGAGCTCCTGGCGTGCAACAGCCATTAAATTAGTATGAACCTCAATATGTCAGAATTATTTCCACAGTTTCACTATTGCATTGAGACAAATACTATTATTATACAGGGCCTATTACCATTGTCACAGATGAAGCAAAGTCTGAAGTCCTCTATCCTAATCCACAGAACTGCCAGCACCTGAAACAGATAAACAGGTAAACTGCCATAAAGCCACTGAGTGCATTGGTGCCACTGTGTTGTGTTGTTTTAACTGCGTTATGTAAATACTTTTTAATCCCACCCCTTCCTCCAGGAAGCTGAGCAGCATGTATCATTTTTCTTCTCCTTCTCACAACAACCCTGTGAGGTCAGCTAGGCTGAGCATGTATGACTGTGGGGCCAGGACCCCTCAGCATGTCTATAAGCCACATTTGGCTTGTCCTGGAATAAACAGGAAAGGACTAGAATTGGTTTATGCATGACCTGTCAAAAGCAGCAACCTATTACCACTTGCTTATCAAAAGCAATACTTGCTTTTACATTTTAGAAAAACATATACTCCGTGTATCCACCGAATACACTGCACAGTTTCGATGGGCGTGCTTCTGTACTCTGACTGTTGGGAGCATACCTGGAAGTTAGTTTCCTGTGACTTCTTCTCTGAAGCAAGTCCAGGCTTGATGTCCTGCTTTGCCTCCCCTCTGCATTCTGTGTAAAATACAGGCAGTTCCAAAAGCCTTTGGGAATGTCAATGCCAGATACTGTCAAATAAGACTATGTGGGAGGCCGGCAGAATGGAGGAGTTGCCCTACAAGACACTCAAGCGGGGGGAGCTGTGTTGTTCCTATTCCGTGGCAGCATCACAGTATATCAGTAGTAGAACGTGCAAAAATGAAAGCTGTCTGGGTATACTTTGCACTTCTTATATTTCCTTTAGTCGCTAGGCAGATGATGGCGATAAAACCAATGGTCATTTATAGTCATCTACAGCAGAGGTGTCCAACTCATTTGTCATGAGGGCCAGATCTGAGATAAATGTCACTTTGTTGGGCTGGGCTCTGTATGCCATACAATGTAATGCCAGGTACCGGAAACATAAACTGTACAAAAGTACAGCAGCTGGTAAGTTCCAAGTTGATGTATCCTCACTGCAAGGCTCCATGAGCTGGGAGAGGGGTGCAAAGGAAAACCCATATGGGTGGGCTGGAGAGCCAGCAGTGCAGCCCTGGGCAGATGCCCCCACGCTGCTTGAGTGCTGCAGATGAGGTTGTTCTGCCATGCTGAAGCCACAATGGGAGTGGCTCCTCCCACTCCCCCCTTGAGCAGTCTCCTATTCCGTCCCTTGTACTAGTTGCTCACGGGCCACATAAGAGCTCTGGGCGGGCTGGTTCCAGCCCCCGGGCCTTATGTTTGACACCCCCGATCTACAAGCTGTAGTATTCTATGGACTAGTCTAGTAATAATCTCTTTATGTTTCAGGGAGTGGATGCTTGCTGTAGCATCTTTTAGGATTAAGTTGACACAGCTTTTTAAAACTTATCTACTGCTGGACCACCCCTGGCACTCTAGCAGCATTGCCTAAATGACCCAAACAATACCCAGTATTAAAAACTTCAGTGGCAAGGGGAAAGCAATGTCCAGCTCCTTAATTTCTTGTCTAAAATAATGTTCTTCCTTCCCAGGGCAACTTTTTTTGCAGGGCTCTGAACATTTTTCTTTTCTTTTCCAGAAAAAGGATGGCTACCATGTGTTTACAGCCAGGCATCTCTGACGATCTGAAGACAATTAAAGAAAAAGTGGGAATCAACAATGAGAAGCAACTGGATTTTTTTGTCCTACTTGACAACATGTTTGCAGAACAGGTATGCAGCACCTTCCTAGAAACAGAGTCCATAATATTTTCAGGCATGTGGGAGAAATTGCATTGAAGGCAGGTGCAACAACCATTTGGCTGAATGATGCTCATAATGGAAAATGGCCTGGGCAGCAGGCTGACAGAGGAGTTCATGACATCGGGAAAGCCGCTGCCCTTTTCCTCCATTTTAATTTCTTCAGAAGTCACTACTCTCAAAGCTTCAGTCTTAACCTCTTTAAACTTGGTTAAATCAAATACTATATGCATGTAGCACACATTGCCTTTTCCCTATTCTTGTCTCTCTCTCCTCCCATTGTTTTCCCCCTTGGTTATTTTCTCTCAAGGGATGCTTATGAAACTCTCTGCAAAGGGCTGTGGTGCCTATATAAACAAAATTATATTCCTTCCCCCATGCAGAGTAGTTCTTTATAGATAGGATTCCTGCAGCATGGGACCAGATCAGAGGGATCTTCCAGGTAGCTGTAAACAGGCCCAATCCTCCAATCCTATTAATAGAATGTAGCTGATTTTTTCAGAGACTAGTCATATTAATCCACAAAGATAACATACTCCTAAGCAGGAACCAGCTTAGCTCACTTAGGCATCACAAGTTGGGATATTAGCACTACGGACTCCTATACCAAATGGTTTCCTTTTCTCCACACACGTTCACAGCTTTGACATTTTAAAAAAATGATCGATCTGGGGCCAGAGAAGATTATTGTTTCAAAACACTTTTGGGGGTGACAGAAACAGAAACAGAGGGAATATGGTCTTGTTCAGGGAAGTCATCTTTTCCATGTGAAGGTATATGCCAAAAATTCGTCATGGCAAGTATTGGCCAGGTCTGTGAGTCTAACCTTCCTCCGGCAGAACAGAACTCCACACTCCCACTGCTGTACATTGCAGGGGAAGGTCAGGTAACAGTAGGCAAACTGTCTTTCAGAGAAGCTTGTCTCTGGCCCATAGCTATGGTGGGGCTATTGGGGGCTCCACCCCCTACCTTAAAGGGCCCCCTACTTCTTCCCAAAGGCATATAAAAGAAGCACGTGGCCCTCCAATCAGCTGAAGGGCCCTTTAAATCTTGCAGGAGAGGCCCCACTGGTGGACCTCCCGATGGCCCCTGGTATTTTTGGCCACTGTGTGACAGAGTGTTGGACTGGATGGGCCATTGGCCTGATCCAACATTGGCTTCTCTTCCGTTCTAGGGAGAGGGGTGCACGCCACCCCCTTCATTATGGCAAATAATGGCAGCCCCACCAGAAAAAAATTTGCCCCACAAGCCACAAAATCCTTGGTATAGGCCTGGCTTTTCTACCATTATTTGTCTGAGAAGCCAGATGTGCTTCCAACAAACCAAATGTAGCTTGAAATGTAGCAGACTGGACCTGATGCACCCATGAGGGTGCTTTTACTTTTTATCATAAGAACACCACAGATCATCATACTCTCACCTTTCACGTGCTGTTCTCTCCAGGAATTCCCTACATCCTACTGCTGCTTTCCTGATCAGGTCATACTTGCTTTAATGTTACTATAACAAAACTCTTCTTTTTTGGCTTATGTACCAGCAACATCTTTTTGCAGGGCAAGCTGTTAATATTCTGTAATAGTACATAAGGGAGAAAATGGTACTACTGATGGCACACATTCAGGAGACATGCTGGGTAGTTCAAGGGTCTGCAGATATGACAGCCACAACCCCCTGGTGACAAAAAGATTTCCCCATGGCACTTCCACTGCAGCTCCCACCTAGTCCCAGCCCATCCGGATGCAAACATGGGTCAACTCTCACCTGAAGGCCACTTGAAAGAGGCAGGGTGAAAACCCGGAAAAGGAGGACACCTGGTGAGATGCAGCTTGGTGGGCATCAGCTGAGGGTCAGAAAGGGGACGTCTGCAGCCAGGTGGAGAAGTGTAAAAATCACTTTCTTTTGCATTCTATTAAAATTAGTTTTTAAAGCAGCAAAGCGGTACGATTCAAACATTATATGATTACATTATATGATTGGAATAAGTCTTACTAGACTCAATGGGGTTTCTTCTGAGTAAAGTGCAGGGGCTCGGCTGCAATTCTAAGCTAAGATCAGGCTATGAAACTGGAACCCCACCTATCCAATTCCAGTAAACCCATGAGATTACACAGATTGTAAGGGTTGCTTTGTGCATGCGTTTCTGTTCATTGAAACTTACGTTCTACTTCTTTCTTTGTGCACCACCTTCCATCTAAACCTAGACTATAAACTTCTTGAGGCAGAGATGTGCCCTTTCTGCTGACATTTACACTGCAAGGAACCATGTGCATTCATGTTGCAATAATTTTAAGTCTATGAGATGGTTTTTGTAAAGAGACAAAAGAGCAGGGGAAATGTATGTTTTTAGAAAACTAACTTCTTTGTAAATTTGCCAGAAGGAATGTGTAGGATCCTTAATTCTACATTCCTGTGTAGAATCACTCCAATTTGTCCACTGAGGTCAGCGGGCTTAGACTTAGGTAAGTCTACATAAGACTGCACTGTCAAAGACACACACCCCAGCCTCTTTGTCAAGCCAGTCCTGTGCATGTTTACTTGGAAGTAAATTAAACCCAGTACAGCTTTGCTCCTAAGTAAGCACGCTTACTGTTTCAGCCTGCAGCTTTCTTTTGGGAGATCTTTCCAGAATTGTGTTGATCTCTTTTCTAAAGTACATAATCAAAAGAGAAGCCTAACCAGGAAGTATTTGGAGGGCTGATTGTCTGCACACCACCACAATCCCATCCTCCTAGGTTGGAGGAAGTCTGAAAATGAACTCACATACCTTGCATTTCCAGAAACAAGTTTCACCACTAAATACAGGGGTCTCTTGAGAAGGGTGAAAAACGAATTTGGTTTCTAAACTCAAATTTGTTAAGATTTGGATCAGCTTAAACACTGATGGTAGGAGACCCGATTATGAATATGGTCTGTGCTTGAAGCTTAGATGGTGAACTACCTGCAAGATTATAGAGCTGTATATTGATTCATACACTGCTATCTTTCAGGCACACAATCTGCCTAGCTGCCCTCTTCTGAAGAATTTCCTGCAAATAATTGAGCAAAGGGCCATTGACTCGCTCCTTTATGTCACAGAATATAATTTAAGGTGAGCGGCCGCTAGGCTGGAGGGGAGGGTGGGATGAATCCCAGTGAGGGAGATTTATATCCCAATTTCTGCCAGTCGAGCACAGCTTCATTTTTGTATTTAGAATACAGGCACCTCACTTAAGCTAGTAGTTTTCTAGCTTACCAATACTCAACTATAAATGCAAGTCTTATTGTAAGTGCACGTGTTCCTAACATTACCTTTTTTCCCTAGGGAAACTCTTCAGATGTCTGTTGGTCCTCTTCTTTATGAACTTCAAAAGAATATTAGAGAAGCAATAGAGCCTTCCTCTGCCAACATCAAAGCCAGGTATATCCTTATCTTATAAGCAAGAACTCAACCCCATTGTGGAACAAAAAGTCACAAAATGGGTCCCACTCCATATACAAGTTACACTTCTGCATACCCAGAGGAGCTTCCAGCTTTATAGAAAACTCCAGTGCATTAAAAAAACACTAGCAAGTGCTATGCTAAAAATCCTAAGCAAGGTAAAGGTTGTGCATACACCAGTTCAACACTCAGCCATTCACAAGACACTACCTCATAGGAACTGCGGTACCATGGCAACTCTCCCCACCTCATGTTGTATTTTGGGGAACTGACCTTAAGAGTTTACTTTCCTCTCCACACAGCAGATGGCAGGTGAGTCACTTAGTGCTCAGAAAGAGGGTACTAACTGCACAGCTGTTTCAATGAAGCATGCAAGGTAGAGGCCTTAGCAATCCAGATTGCCCTGCTGCTAGTGGCCACTAGGGGGAGGTGCTGAGTGACAAAATTGAAAAAGTAATGCCAGTCTCTAGTTTCTTCCTGCACTTTACTACAGATTATGCATAACCCAAAATGTATCGTTAGCTCAGACCAGTCCATTACAAACATACAATATGTGCCAGAAAAATATAGAGGTAGAAACAGGACTAAAAAGCAGCACATGGCAGACAGACGGGGAGGAAGACAACCCAAACTGGATATACACACAGATTAGCAAGAAAATAGTAAAGATGGGGTGCATTAGACCAGAGGCCTCTACCTGATTCAACACCATCACAATGAGGTGCAAGTATGTTGAGAGAGAGAAGAAACATTGATAAGAGCCTCAAATGTTTTTGTCTCAAGGAGAAATGTTAAGGACAGAATACTACGTGTAAATGGAGCCGAGCTGACCAAAGGCCAGTACCCAGTGTGTGTGTCAGCGGTAACAGATTCGGTTGTGCTCATGTAGTTTTTTCTCCCCTTCAGAAAGCTCATTCTGTATGCTGTTCATGATGTTACCCTCTTGCCACTATTGATGGCTCTAGGAAGCTTCAACTACAAGTGGCCTCCATATGCTTCAGATGTGACACTGGAACTCTATCAGCATTCTGAGGACTGGTTTATACGACTGTCCTATAATGGGGAGGTAAGGAATCCATGCTGATACCTCATGTAAAAGCACAGGGCCTTGGATGAGCTTGGTGGATGTGCAGAATGCAAGCTCTGGCTTGTGCTTAATCTGAATATCAGGTAGTATAACAAGTCAAGCCACCTGCTCAAGTTAGCGCATGGGTCCTTGGTACTATTTTCCTTTGGGTTCTCTCAGCTGTCTCAAGACGTTCTAGAAATGCTTAAAACGTGTTGCTGAAACTTCATTTTGTTTTTCTGCAGGAACTGACTGCAAGAGGCTGCAGAGCTGGTCTCTGCCCCTTGGAGGAGTTTCTGAATGCCATTTCACATTATAGCACAAATCCAGAGGAATACAATTTGCTTTGCTCCAAATCAGCTGACACTGTAAATGGATGACTAACTAGTGACAGTACCACCTAAGTTTCTAAATCTATAATGAGAATAAGGCCTGTTTTGTCTTAAGTTAACCTTTCAAGTGGCAGATCCTTAGAAGGTTTTCTACTGGAACTGAAAAGATTAATCCACTGAACATATTATCTTGATTTTAGAAAAAAGGTACCTAAGTCCCTGTAGCCTTATCACAGCCCCAAAGCAGGAGCTGATAATGGTGTACATAATTCTGCTTACCTGAAGGGAATCAGAGGTGCCTTACACATCAGCTGTCCTTTTTTTGAGCTCCGCTGCAGTTCTTTGGCCTTCTTTTCAGAAGTTTTAAATGCTCTTTTAATGAAGATATCAATTCATACTGAATCTAGTCCTAATCTTTTGTGTTGTTCCACTCTACAAAAAATCGTATACAAACACCCAGAGGACAATAATATACACACTTTAAAAAGAAACAAACTACCATCAGCTCTTGCAAGTGCGCAAACCCCAGGTTTTTTTTGTCCACTGTGAGGTAAAACTAACTGGACTGACCGTACTCTGTGATTCACACCAGCGTCCTCATGCAGGACCACTTCTGTGGAAAAGGACAAACACTAATGCTGAATTTTCCAGCATTACTTTGGAATTTAATGCAGAAAGAAAATTCAGGACAAAGCATGTTCCTTGCTGTTAACTTCAGAACTAGCCACACAGGCCATTAGGCATGTATACCTTTTTGGTCCCAGGCCCCTTCACAGTCATGTTTTTTAGAAGTTCTAGCAGAATATATTACAGTTTAAATAATGTTTAACCACACAAAAGGAAATAGCTCAACCAAGTAACATCACTGTTCCTTGACACAAGGTAGATCAGAGTTTGAAGTGATAAACAAGAAAAATGCTCTCTCTCAGAGCCATTTTTGACTAGCACTGGAATGCAGTACCACTAGCTAAAAGGCAACAAAAATATAGAAAACAGCTAATGGGTACCTAGAAAGGTGTTTTTACTTGCATCCAATTATAGTACTTGGTAGCAATTGAAGGTTAAACTGTGGCTGTTGCAAGGGAAATGGGCAATACGACCAACCCAATGCTGTTAAGTCTGACAAATGAATATTCAGTGGGAATTCCAAATGGCTGCTCCCTGCAGTGAAAACCACAGTTGTAAATTTGGGGCATGTTGAATCAGAGGGCTGGAGCCTTGAGAGATGACTGTGCAAATGGCAATGGTACCATTGTCTCTAAACATGGCACTACACCCCTGCACTAGTTTGTGCGGTATTCCCCCACCCAGCCCACTTCCTTTGAAGAGCAAAAGGCCACCCTTAATAGTATCAATATCCCAGCTGATAAAACTACTTTGAAGGGTATTTTCAGGTAAGAATTGTTCAGACATCCCCCAGAAACTTTCAGGCAATTTATGGATATTAAGTTATTTAAAAAGAATTGAAAACGGAGGCAAAAGCCTCAAGAAAATCACCGTGGGTTGGACTGCGGTAAATGTTCCCCAGACAGTAGCTACAGACTGCTCAGAACAACGTGGTAAAGCAGGACGTTGTGCAGACAGGGATATCAGTTTGCTAATGCTTCCTCCTACGATGAAGATCTTTACTATTTTTGGTTACTGAATACAAGATGTTTTCCTCAAACAGTTCATTATTCCCAGTTGCTTGGTTTTTGTTTTATAAAAAATGACAGCTATTAAGATTGCAGTATATAAACGCTACACACTCCCTGGTCAGACATGCAGTTCTGATTTCTCCAAGGCATCTATACCAGTCGTGACTCATTGCAACAGCACAACATTGTGCAAGTTTGTGCAAACTACTCACTTTTCAAGATGGGAAGCCATGTTAGTCTGTTTCTAGCAGTGGGGGGGGAGACTCCAGTAACACCTGGAAGATGAACAAAACTTGTGGCCGGGTATGATCTTTTGAGAGTCACTGCTCACTTCTTCAGGTATCTCACAAAAGATCATACCCCACCACAAATTTTGTTCATCTTCAAGGTGCTACTGGATTCTTATTCCTTTCTACTGCATACTTTTCAGTGAGACTGTTCTGGCACAAACTGAGTACAGAGATACATGAGGTCAAGCTTGAATGTGCACCCGGAGTTGCCACCCCCACTGCTAAACTTTCACTCAGATGGAATTATTTCATACATTGATGCCCAGCTATGTTTTAAATCTCCTGCCAAAAAAAAACATGTTTGGAAATAACCCAAATACAGAGCAACACTGGACTACAGTAATAGAGAAAGGAACTGGTTCTATTTTTTTGTAAGAAACAATATATTTTATTTTTCTGACACCACAGCCCTGGCAAGTGGTTTTGTACCAAATTTAATGGAGGTTACACAGAGAACGTTTTACGCTGGGGAACGAAAAAAAAATAGCCACAAAAAAAGTCAGGGTAACTTTTAGTGTCTGTTCCACTCCCACATTAATAAAGTCACTTGGGGGGGTTCTAAGAAAAGGAGAATAAGAAACAGCAAGACTACTGTAGAATGTAACAGTGTCCAAGTCCAGCCTCTTCCTGAAAGTGGCAACACTCCCAGCATGAGAAGTGGCTCTCCTAGATTTACTCCCCAAAATAATACAATGTATTGCAGCTGCCAGAGAAGGAGACAGTAACGGTTGGGGAGGACCGAGATATTTTTTTTTTTTTTTAAGAGTGGGAGGGAGAGACAAAAGGTGCTGGACAGCACTCCATAATTTTGAAAAATAGGTCCTTAACTTATTTCTTTTAAAAGTTTCCCCCTCATTGAACTTAAGTTCCTTTTGTGCTTTTCATTAATACTCTGCTCTGAGGTCGTAGTTTGGTTTTTCTATACATTGGAGTTGAAGGAAAATAGTCCAAAGTTCTGAAGATGGATTTTCCATCTAAAAGTAAACAGCCTCTCACCCCAAAGACTAAAGTCTCTGCTAAAATCCCTTTTACAATATAGTACAGTACACAAAAATAACCCCCCAAAAATAACCAAGAGTCCTGGGAGAAGCTAGTCCAAAGGACGTAAACATACAGAGAATGGTGCAACTCGTGACAAATGGCAATTCTCAAAATACAGCTACAGATTCTCAAAGCAGGTGCCATCACAGGATACCCAAGTACACAAAAATAATTTTTAAAAAATAAATCTTAAAAAAACAACCTGTTAAAATGAATTCATTTGTTTTCAGGTAATTCCATACATTCGAGATTTCCCAAAGCATCCTCTGGTCTGTTTTCACCTATTGCATGGCAAACTGTGCTCCTGGAGCTCTCGGGCAGCCCCCGGGATCTGGAATCTCATCTCAAGAAGGATCAGAACCATCCAGTCTTATGTAGCAGCTTAAAACATCATGTTCCCTGGGTTCCCAGGGCCTTGGCTAAATCCTCCCATTCCTACGTCAGCAGCCATACCCCGGGGCCTCATTTGTGGAGGAATCATGATGTTCTGTTGGGGGCCTATCATGCCCTGCATTGACATCATCATGCCAGGTGAACCCACAGGTCCTGGGTGGCTGTACAGCCCAGCAGGAGCTCGGTCCTTGCCTGGAATCATACCCACTGGATTGCTCATTAGAGTGGGCTGGCCAGGCATTGCTGTTTGTGCTGGTGACATCATTCGATGGTGGGGTCCCATCATGCCTTGTTGCAGAAATGCAGGCGGTCTCATTGGGTTATGGCCTGGCATGGATGATGCTGTTCCCAGAGGAATGTCAGGAGTTCCCACTGGCCCTGGGCCTCCCATGCCAGGTAATGCCAGCCCCATTCTTGGATTCTGTTCTCCCATCATTCCCTGCATGTGAGAAAATCCAGGACCAACACCCTGTGGCTGCTTGCGGCCTGGCACTTCCCCACGAGGGAAATACTGTAGTGTCTGGCTAGGCTTCTCTGATGGAATAATCCTGGACAGGTCAAATTCCGGTATTCCAGTGGCTCCAGGGCGAATTACTTCCTGCAGCTCTGGATCAGTAAAAACCGAAGGCATGTTGTTTCCTAGAACAGTGAAAGAGTCCGGTCCCCCAGGACCTCCAGACTTGCAAAGTGCTGGATCCGTTGAACTTTGGGGCATATTGGTGGGACGCCCCAAAGGTCCTTCACCATGGAAGGTCATTCCAGCTGGAAAGTTGCCTTGCCCTCCACTAGGTCCATTATGGGGAAATGGTACCTGCTGTGGAGGGGACTGTACTGGAGGAAAGCCCTGTGGAAAGGCCAAGCGTCCTTGAGGTACCATTGGAGAATCTTGAGAACCGTGGCCCATCATTGAATTGTGTGACATCAGGCCAGGTCCCACAGGGACACCATGAGGAGGTATACTGGGTCCCATAGCATTTGGAGAGGGCATCTGGTTACTATGAGACAGAGGTTGAGTCATTCCCATTGGGCTAAGTGTTGACATTGGGCCTGTCTGGTTGGGACCAGAAACCCGAGGATTCTGGGAGTTAATGCCCATTCCTGGAGAAAACAGAAAGAATCAAGTTTAGAAAAACACAAGCCAATGAAAACACAGAAGCTTTATATCATGCAGCATAACCACGCTTTTGTCAGAAACTGCAGCTATCCAAAGTTATTCATTACTATAACTCACTAGAAAGCCTGCATAACACAACAAAACAATACTGCTATGCTTGAGTTTTTTCCCATGCTATGCATGTCATAGATGCCATTCTCTACAACATGGCATTTTATGCTGTTGAATATGCCACAAGAGCACCATGTTCCAATGTTAATTTTTCTCCCAAGGAATCCCTTGTTATACTGCAATACATGCTGTTCACACAGAATAGGGATACACCTATTGCTCTGATAGTTCTTTAGGAACCAGCAGTCATCTGTTGTTACGTACTACAGGATAAGATCAGTAATGGTAGGCAAGCCTTCTGGGGGACACTGTTTACCACTGGCACACCTGGGCACCTGGTGCACAACAAAGTAGCAGCACAATGGCATTCAATCCTGCTCCAAAATGAGAAATGGTCCTTGCTTATTCCTTGTCCTTTTGCATTCAAAAAGAGAAAGATTTGTAGGCAAAAACTACAGGAATGAAGATGTGAACGCAAAAGCATAGTTTGTCATGGAGTTTCCTGTCAAAGGACCAGTTCCTTTTTCTCCCAAGGAATCCCTTGTTATACTGCAATACATGCTGTTCACACAGAATAGGGATACACCTATTGCTCTGATAGTTCTTTAGGAACCAGCAGTCATCTGTTGTTACGTACTACAGGATAAGATCAGTAATGGTAGGCAAGCCTTCTGGGGGACACTGTTTACCACTGGCACACCTGGGCACCTGGTGCACAACAAAGTAGCAGCACAATGGCATTCAATCCTGCTCCAAAATGAGAAATGGTCCTTGCTTATTCCTTGTCCTTTTGCATTCAAAAAGAGAAAGATTTGTAGGCAAAAACTACAGGAATGAAGATGTGAACGCAAAAGCATAGTTTGTCATGGAGTTTCCTGTCAAAGGACCAGTTCCTGGCCACAGGGCAGCTAGGAAAGTCAGGCAGCCACAACAGTGACCCTGAAGGACTCTATTCAACTTGTTTCCCCTCTCTCACCTTTTCCAACTCCTTGTTGAAAAGGGAGGGTGTGTCTACACAAAACAAGAGAACAGAGCTCCAGCAATTTAACTGCCCTAGAATCTCACAAGAGCATGCACACTTGCTCTTTCAAACTAATCGTAGCACTTTTTTGCTTTAGAAGAAAAAGGCCCGATAGCATTTAAGTAGCCTGATTAAAGTGCAACCATTTAAGCTTCCCTTAAACCAGTCAGGAAAAGTCAAAAGCCATTGTCTGAAAAAGAGAACTGCTGGGCCGTTCCTACTTCCCAGTTCCTGGATATTCATAGACACAGGACTAGTCCTACAGCTGATACCATCTCAACGATGAACAGATTCACAAATTGAGAACTAGTTCTCATTTGCCTACAATGAACTGCTGAAGAGAAAACAGGGCCACACAAAGAAGCTCAAGGAGACATGCTCTGTGGTCACCTTATTTGTAAACACTGTGGGTTGGAAAGGTAAGGTAAGCCAATGTGTGGGGAAAGAGGGAGAAGGATATTAACTAGTTTTCAGGAAAGTCTCCTGAAATTAATTACAACTTACACTTTTCAAAATCCCAACTTAGCACACTGCTTACTGAAGCTTGGTCAAATATTTGGAGAATTTGCTCTTGACACCTTGATCCCAACAGATCTATCTTAGTGAGCCAGAGTTCACAGAGCTGGACAAATTAATTCACACAAGGAATTAAGTTCATTGCAAGGAATTAAGAATTTTATCCCATTCTCCCTTATCATATCTGTTCTCAGTGGCTACAGATGAGAACTACATGTTACATGTCCCATCCCTCTTGGCACTTGTTTTTTTTTACCGGAAAGATTGTTCATTGGTGGCAAGTTTGGGGAACGTGCTGGAGGAGAGTCATCATCTGATGAGGCTACAGTCTTGATAGCATCATGGTAGAGCGGCGTAGAGCTGGGCATGGCAAACTTGGACATCCGAGACATCATGATGGAGAGAGGATTCTGAGACAGGGTAGGTTCTGGAGGCATTGTGTATGGGCTGCTCGAAGGCAGATTTCCAGGAAGGGTCACAGGAGCTGCTTGGCTAACTGTTGAAGGGGGTGCACCACCTAAAATACATATATTCACATTAGTTTATTATTAAAGTCTGTATTTTACCTAGAATATGCTAGGAGCATCACCAAGAGCATATGCACATAGCAATTTTCTGAACTCCAAACTAGGTGCTACTGTTTCTATTCAAAATCGGTCTACACCAATCCGTATTATTACTTCATCCAGTACTGACTGCAGGGAGCTCTCCATGGTCTCGGAGGTCCTTCCCAGCTCTGCTACCCACACTCCATGCCCAGTTGAACGTTCCTGGGGCAGTACAGTGACTGCACCAGGGACCTTGCAATCCACCACTGAGCTACAGCTGTCCTAAATGAACTACATTCGTGTCAAAGGGCTGACTAAGCTGCTTTCTCACTGAGAAGTTCCACACATGGCCCCTTTCTGACCAGGCTCTACTTCAGAGATAGAAAGAAGGCTGTCCACATCAAGCCGTTTGGCCCACTTCTTCGGGGCCAAAGACTCCAAGGCACTATCCAATTTACTTAAAACGCATCATGGTCATTCTGTGGACAGGATTTCACTATGATGAATTAAGCCAGAGGCTGCACAAATAACTTTCTACCCAATACAGGTATTCAAGACAGTCCAGAGGGTTCAGTCATGACCCCCATATAAATGCATCGCGCCATGATTGGTTATGTACTTGGCTGAAGAGCCAATGTCCAGGAACAAAGCATGTCACTCAATGTGAAAACTATTCTCTTTTCTTACAAAATGTCCTCTACGAGACCCCTTCAGGCTGAAAGCTAGCCTTGTCAATGGTACAAACCTGCGGATCTGAAATGAATACAGCTATCAGGGTATGAATGTTTTGGATCTCCTGAAAATGAAAAAATGGCAGTTCACCAAAGCAAAGTTCCCTCCGGGTTTCACAAAGTAGCTAATAAGATGATACTTTAGTAACAAGTTACATGCAGGCATACTGTATAGTTACTGTAGCAACAACTTACATAGAAGGCTGCGTTTTAGCCCACATCCAGCTTTAAACTGGACCCAAGTTTAACCCATCAGGACCTTCCAGACATTAGCCTTTTTTGATGGGTCCAGGGTCCAATAAGTGCTACTATTCCTGATAAATCCCTGCATCTCAGCAATGAGGTAGTTAATTTCAATTGCTGGAAAATCTTTCATGTCCTTCTAAGTGCCACATGGTTTTCCAACTGAGGAAGCAAGTGTGGTATAATTACAAGCATTTACTGAACAGTGCCGATCAACACCATCACAAGCCACATCAGCAGGGGTACCACATCTACCTGCACCAAGGTTTCTGTGATCTTTTTGGAGTGCAGGGTGGTGGTGATCAGTAATACAATTCCAGTGAAGGATCCAGAGAGGAGAGAAAATGCACAAGAACCCCATTTTTATACATTAAAACAAGAGAACAGCTTCGCTTACAGTGAAGCTAAGTATATGATGAATTCCAGTTACCTAACTAGTACACACTAGTGCAGACACAGGATCATCACTGCCATGTAAAGAAAAACTGAACACACGTCATGCTACGCTTTTATTAAGAGCCAACCAGCTTGTCACAAGCCATGTTCTCTACTAACACAAACACATGAAAAGTTTATTCAGCAGTACAATCACTGCAGATTTTAGCTGTCAGGCAAAGTTGTTTTCCACCCAAAACCTAAGTCTTGAAAATAAGATTTGATTGCAGTTTTGTTGGAATGGAATTACAGCTCTCTGAATTAGCATGAGAAAGGGAGAACTAGCAAGACTGAGAGTGTTAGCTGTCAAGTCTCAGTCTGTTATCATCCAGAATCAGATTACTACTGGGGACACAATTTTTCTAAAGTTTCAAGTGAATGGCTTGTGCCATTCATAAAAAAACAACAAAACCACCCAAAGGGACTCCTCAGGAACCCTGAAAAATATGACTTTGGTATTTTGACACGGTTGCAAATTAACAAAACTTGGCTGGATGAGATCTAAGCATGCCCCACAGAAGGCATGTCACACAGAGAACAACTGAGTCAGTGTGTGTGTGTGTTTGGGGGGGGGGGGAACAGAAGGAAAAGAAAATATACAGAATCCCAGAGGGATAGTCTTATATGGGCCATTTTTTTGGGGGGGAGGAGATTTCTAATCCATTTCTCTCTTCCTTGGCAACTCCTTGCCAGACCCCCAGCTGGTTTTATTCCAATTGTTTCCAGTGTAGGCTCAAATGCTGATCTTACTCTTGAAATCACACAAGATTTACTCAAAATAAAATAAAGATATGGGGTACTTTGACAGACTAAAAGTTTTAACAGAAAAATGCTAGAGTTCCATCAGACAAGTTGGCTCAGAGGGTACAGGAATGCCAGTAGTTTTGTTTAAAGCATGCCACTGCAGTGATCACTTTAAAGCACTAGAGGGCAGTGTAACCAAACAGTTGACCTGGTTGCTTTCCTAATTCTAGGAGTAATGTGATTTCACAGACTGAAGAGCTCCCAAGGCTGGCACCATCAAACAATTGCATGCAAACACTGCACACTGGGGACTTGTTTTATTAGAACCTTGCAGGATGAAAACAGCTAGTTGCCTTTAAGACGTAAATCTGGAAGATTAAATAGGACTTGAAATTCTGCAGGGCATCTTACCCTGTGGGTCAAGATAAGGGACTACTTTTTGTGGAATGGCAAAATCTAGGCAGAATCCAGATGGCATCGGCAATCAAACAATCAAGAAGCATGCCAACCCCCAATCGATTGTTAGCCGCATCCCAGAAGGGATTTGTGAAGATAAGAGGGCAGAGAATTTACCAAAAAGCCATTTCCCACCGGAACTATTTAATGATAACATTCTTTCCTGCCCCACCCCACAATCCGCAGTCTTGCTCACTTTCACCAGTTCAACTGGCAATTGTCCTTATTTTATAAAACTGCTACCCACACAAAAAATTCTACAACACAAAAATGCCTGACCACGATATTAACTCCTCCCCCGGTGAAAGAAACTAATACACCACTCAGCAGCTTTGCTTAGGAAGTAAAGAATGAAGGGCAAGAGTACATCTGCCCCACTGGGACACTGTAAATACATCTTGAATGTAGTACTAATTGTCATCTGTTTCAGACTATTTAGGACTTTTTAATCTAGACAGTAACATTTCCGATCTAGGAAGACAGATCTGTGTGCAGCCATCTTTTCACGGTTTAAGACAACCCATACATCACTCAGTTCTTTTACTTTTTTTTTTTAACTAGCTTTACTCCAGTGCCTAGTGCTGACATTTAGCAAGGGAAGCCTTTTCATACATTTCCTCTATACTGGAAGCAATCTGACTTCCTAAACTTCTGTACTTCAAGGTTGCCATTCAAGGCACAAGAGCAGAGGATTTTAAATAGTAGCAACCTACGCCCAGGAAAATACAGAGGAGTAAAAACTAACCTGACTCCACATTCCCCATCATGGCTGGTGAAGACATGGCAAGAGACGCTTTGTGGTTAGGGGGGATTCCAGGACTCTGCAACGGAGGCTTTGGAGATGAAGTCCATCCTGGAGAAGGTGCAGGGAGGGATGGAGACTTGAGATGGACAGGAGAAGCGGCAGCAGACCCCATTACAGGGGGAGATTTTATTGAAGCTGCAGCAGCAGCTGGACCTGCAAGTATCCCTGCCAGTTGGGATGGAGTCTGAGGAGATTTGAGATTCCCAGAGGGTGAACCCAGCATTGGAGATTGGACCTGGCGCATTGTAGGAGATTTGAGTGGATTTATACCCGGTGAATGAACCTGGCTGGCACCAGAGACGTCCAAGGGTTTGCGGCCAAGGTTGCGTTGAACAGGAGGAGCTGTGTTGAGGCTGTTTGGGTTGCTGGCAGGGTTCAGAGGTAGTGGTGGCATGTGGCTAAGCCGGCTGTTAGTCCTTTGGTCAGGCCCTATTTGTTCTCTATGATTCCGAAGACTGGCCTTCAAAGCAGGGGTTTACCCGCCGCCCGCCCCCACTTGGCAGCCCTAGTTGAGTCCGACTCTTTGCGACCCCCAAAGGGAACAATTTTCTGCTGAGAGGGGAGCATTTCCGAGACACCTGGGTGCATTTTCATCATCTCCTCTGGGCCTACTCCAGCTTCCCTCATCTTTTGAGGTATCATTGGTGGATTAGAACTCATGTTAACATTCAGATTCACGTCCCCCTTCATGCTACCAGGACCCATCCCAAATTCCAGATCCCGTCCAGAAGCCATCTGAGGTGGCATTCCTTTTGCAAAGTCTCCCCGGGAGGGACTCATTGATCCTTCAACTGGCATACGTGGAAATATGGGGTTATTGCCAGGCTCCATGTGTCTCTGAGGGGGAATCATCCGGTTCATTTCCATTCCAGGCCTGATCCCTTCTATGCTCATGCCAGGGGGAAGTCCTAGCTGTTTTTCAGCTAACTGCTGTTGAAATATATCCTCCGGCAAGCCCTGAGGATTTGGAAACCGCTCCCCTCGACCAGGACCACTGAACACCCCCTGACCAGGAGGGAAGTTCCGACCATCTGGAATTTTTGGCACATCTTCTGGCCAAGGAACGCCTGAAAGCCCAGGTCTAGTTGTGGCATTTGGGACATTGGGACCCTCTATTTCAGGGTTTATCATTCCAGGAAATCCAGGCAGACGCATCTGACTGCCAGGCACATTGGGATGGGGTGCCATGCCCCTTGGGGGCAATGAATGGGACATAGTCATGCCATCAGCAAAGGCTTCTGGGCCACCAGGTCCCCAACCCTCACCGGGGGTTATCTGATATGGTGGTGGGGGACCTCTGACCAACCCTCGAGGCCCATGCTGGTGAACCATCATATCCTGCAAGGTGCACTGCTGTACAACCTGTTCTTGTTTCCTCCTCTTTTCCTCATAGAACTCTTGTTGAAGCTTCAACCAGGCCACCTGTTCAGGAGTCATATGGTCCAAGTGGTCTGGTCCTATAGGGCCAGGTTGAGAATTCATGGATGGTGGCCCAACTTCATCTGGTGAAAAAGGCATGTCTCTGTGCCCTTGGGGGCCAAAGGGGACCCCTCCTTCAGTCCGGGGCCCTGGCCCTTTACCTAAACTTTGGGACTGAGCCATCATCGCTTGTATTGGCCCGTCAGACTTCTTTTGGGGTCCATCCAGTACTCCTGAATTTGGCTGAGGCCCACCAGGTTGTCCTCCAGTGAACTCTTTCTCATCTGGAAAAAGCATGCGCTGAATATCTCGTAGAGTCTGCAGTGAACGTTCTCTGTGTTCCAGCTGCTCTTGTGATAGTCCATCTGGATTTTCACCCATATTTTGTGGGTCCCCTCCAGATACCTGCTGGTTTGGACCTTTAGGGTCTGCACTGGAACTATTACTCCCTTGAGATATTGGACTTACTGCTCGATTATTGGGGGTTGAAGTCTGCCCAAATCCTTCAGTTTGCAGAGGAGTGGAGTTTGCAGGACTTCCTGCAGACATTACTTTATTTTCTAACCCAGGATTGTCCTGATCAAGAGGACAAGGAGGGCCAGTAGATTTGGGTGCTGGTGTTGGAACTGGAATGGGTGGAGTCTGCTGCAATTTGGCATTCTGCGGTGGAGTCTGCTCTTGGGGAACAGGAAGCTGTGACTGAGTCTGGGGCTTTGTATCATTTCGGAGTGGTGGAATCTGAGTGTTCTGTGAAAACAAAAATAAGAAATGTCAACTGGCTCCAGTTAACAGAAAAACAGGTGAAGAACACACAAGAAAAACACAGCTTTTGACAACTCAATTAACCAAGCACAAGCATTCAGGGGTGCCAAAATTCTCATCCAAACCAGAAGCAACCTCCCCCCCCCCAATACGTCTCTTCACCTATGAGTAGGTTACCTACCAATGGTAAAGTGTTCCGCTCTGCCTTGTTAGAGATGTTCTGAATGTGAAAAGATACAATGGTTTCAACTTGTCCCTTCAGCACAGCTTCTGCAGCCCTGAGAAGACAAAAAAAGAAGTCTGGATCCCTTTCTGCAGTTAGGACCAATACTCCCTCTAAGCTGTGGGGTCTTGTGAGCAAAAATTCTACTTTGTGAACTACTGGCATTAAAGTTGTGAGTGAGCGATTTGGCTACTGCATAAATTAGTTTGTTCTGGAGCCATCCTTCCTGAACTAAGACAAAAAGGTGAGAGCCAGAAGCTAAAAAACTGTGAGCTAACTCACACTAACTCACCTTAGAGGGAAACACTGGTTACGACCACACTATCTAAGAGTGCAAGACAAATGCTTGACTTCCGTAAGTCCTAGGGAGCAATATATTTTACTGTCTGTTCATCCACCATATGTGTTGGATCACATTCAAAAACCCAGCTACACCAATCTTCATTCACAATTAGGTTTCATTGGGTAATAATGCAAGGCTGCAAATATGTTTTCAGTGGCCTTTCCACCCACCAAGCTTCAACCAGACTTTTAAAGAAGTATTTACATTTTTCATTATTTAAAAGTAGGAATTAAGTTTTAACTTTCCTACATGCTTACTATTCCAGTGAAGAAAGCCACAGAGTTCTTCATGTGACATGGCCATACAAGCAACTATGTTACCATATGTGCTCGCAATACACCATCACAACTAGCTACCATTTCATTGTGTTCTGACGGCAAAACAGACCCTCTTGCAATGCATCACATGACAAAGAGATAACAGAAGAAAGTCATCTTGCAAAGATGTCTAGTCTCATATCTTGGGCTAACCTTGAAATTGTAGCTATGTCCAAGATTCACTTACTTATTGGCCATCTCAGTTGAAAAGACATAAACCACTTTGGATGGCGTCTTCTGCATGCTACTTGGCTCTGATGTGGCAGCCTGACCATGGGAAGGTGTGGAAGATCGTGGGGCTGAGGCATTTGAAGGAGTCATGGAGTGTGCTGAAAGCTGGGAATCCTGTGATTTTGCATGATCAGTGGAGGCAAGATCTGCGAAGGAAGCATTTCAGTACTGAAGAGCAAAAACTATTCCCATTTCTCTGAAAGCTTACTTTAAAAACAGGCAATCCAGAGAAGTCTATTTCGTCATTTCATATAAGTCAGTTTTTTAAATAAGCGTCCTTCTTTATGCCAACAGTTATGTCAAACAGTTTTTCAAACATGTATGCCACCTATTACACATTATAGGTTGTATTTTAGAGTATTTTGAGGCTTCTTGCTATCTGTAGGTACAGAATTCTCATATAATGCAGTGTAGCAGGTTGATATGCAACTTTCATTCCACAAGATTTTTGCAGGTTGATTAAGCAGGTCCTAGGAGAATGGCACTGTGCAAATTCCTGCCGTAGAAAAAATTATAGCTCCTTTCACTTTGTTTAGCTAGATAAGAGCTGTTTTAAAACCATGTATTTTAAAGGGAACACGTTCATGCCAATATAAAGGTGCCCTGCCATGATTACTAACATCTTGAAATATTAAATTAGAGTGAAAACAGCATGCTTCTGTAGCTTTACACCAGGCACCTTAGCTACCTCCCTAACAGAAACATACTAGAGTTAAACCTGGGGATTTTTCAAGAGCACCAAAATGTTTATTTAAGCATCAACAGACTAGAACATTTCAGTTACGTGGATTCTCTTGCCACTTTGAGCATAATGTTTGCATATTTAGATAAATATTAACTTCCTTCATGAACTTCAAGAATAGAGGATAGGTTGTAAGGCCAAACAAGATAATCACTGGAGCCTTTGAGAAAGAAGGCCACACCATGAAGTAACACAGCACTTGCACTATCCTTTGGCAGAGAACAAATATGCAAAATATCCTGGCATGCAAATTGTTTGCAAAAGTTAACAGCTAGATAAAATGAGAAACTTGCTTCCTAACTGTTGTAGCAAGCATCCTGATTTTGCTTTAGGAGTCAAAGGCTAATAACTGCCTTGATTTTGCACTCCTGTAACACCAGATAGGATGAAGCACAGAAAATGTATTAACTGAACTATGAGGGGTGTTACTGTTAAAAATCTGGCTACAAAAAGGAATTGTCTTTCTCAGACAAAAATGGATCTTGCTCAGCCAATGATGGAACTCCAGAGTACAGGTACGCCATCCTGTCGCATTCAAGCAGGTGCTGGTGGGAAGAAAAAGGTAATTCCAACATACACTTCCATTACTGGCATATTTCCATCAATTGTTCTTCCCCCACATGGGTAATGACTAAAATGACTTGGCTAAAAACATATTGCAATGGCCATTCAAATCATGGCAGCCCCATAGCTCCCACACAGGGGCCAGTTCATACAGAAAGTCATTCCACGTAAGTGCTGCTGGGCCACACCCTCAACAGCAGCTGCCCAAGATACTACAATACTGCAAACATTACAGGACCTTGGGGACCTCTGTTCCAGAAGTCTCTGGGATGCCACACTGTTGCAAGACTGGTCTTCCCCACCTCCATTAAAGCTACATTCCAAGTATGTTGCAATGTAGCTACCTTTTTACTAGCTGCAAATATCTAGCTAATGCCAATTTCACTGAGCCAGGAGGCACAAGCACTATCCTTCTGTACAAAAATTATACCAATGAGGACAAATGGAAATGGGGTGGAGGAGGAGAGCTCTTGTTACCACACCCAACACATCCTCACTGAGACAGAAAGCAGAACATAAACCCATTTGTTCCCAATCCACTAAACAGAGGTCATATGACTCTGTATGTTGCCAGGGTTGGAATAGAATCCCAATAGTGAGGTTTTTGCTTGCTAAACTTTCACCTTCCATTTCACTTTACAGTTTTTAACCCATTCCATTTCACAGGCTCAGGCTGCAAAGCTGCATCAGTCCAATAAGAAACATCAATTGATAATTGATCAAGATGAGAAATCAATACATCATAGGTAAAGGTAAAGGTTCCCTTGCTCGAATACATCATACACAAGCATTAAAATTTAGTCCTGGAATTGAAAAGCTATCCCAAGCAAGTCTGACACTCGCAACTGCTTTTTACAAGATATTTTGTATTCCACGATAGACAGAGAACAAAATACATGCACACCACATCAATTATTAAATTGTGGCTTTAAACACACAGAGGTAGCAGCCCATCCTTTGCCTAGGTGTGAAAGCAGCCTCTGACCTGGATCCCACGGAAGGGATTTCTGTCACTGAGCAGGCCTCCCTTAGCTCCCCCCCCAAAAAAATAATTGTCCAAAATGCTGCCCCAGGAACAGCATGAGGGTGCAGTCAGCTGCAGGAAGAGAAATCAGCAGAACCAGACCCCCACTTTATGTTCACAGAAACTTCCCGTGGGATCCAGCCACATTGGTCCAAGGGGAGAAACTGCTGCTGCTAGTAATTGAGAATGCCCATAGCATGAGTTGGGCCCATGGGCACTTGCTCTTTTTCCCCAACTCCATCAAACATCTTAAAAAATAAAAGCTCAGAGAAGCAACCATTCTTATAGGAGGTAACTAACTTGTTTAAATGTATTATCTTGTAAAAGGTTTTCTGTATAACGAAATACAAAATTTACTGCTATTTCATAGGCTCAAAGCAAGTCAAAGTATTACAGACAAGGAAGAAAAACCCAGATCAATCAAAATCAGCAACCATCAATATTGCTGCCCCTTCATGTATATGCATACCTTTGATTTCAGCTTCATCACTGGGAGTTCCAGCATCTCTCTGTTCAAAGGAGTCTGCTGAAATGCTCCTCTCTCTCTTTCCTTTCCCCTTTGAACCATTGCCAGCCCCGTTCTTCAACCCCATGCTTCCTCCTTGTCCTGGGAGCACTTTCGGTGTGTGGCCCCCACTCTTGGGGTCACAGGGAGAGGGCTGGGATTGGCCTGTTGAGCCCCCCTGTTTGCCCTGGTTGGAGAATTTAGAGTCCAGCTGGGGGTTACCAGATGGGGACATCACTGTAGGAGGACGTACCATCACCTCCTGCTTTGATTTGGGACTACTGAAAAGGAGAAAACAGAACATAAGAATGCCAATTCACTCAGCAGCTGCCACCTCCTCAACCTGTCTTCATAAACTGCGGCAGGCACCAACAAGTCATCTGCATGCTTAGCATCATCCAACTGCTATTTCAAAAATGTCTTGCAATAGGTATGACCCAGGTTGAGGTATCACTATCTGAAGAAAAAGCAAAGCAGCAGCCACCCATATCTCAGGAACTAGGCAGTCACATGGAGATCTACCTCTGCAGCTTCTGTCAATAAAGACAATGGTTTCTATGTACAAAAACGTGCCTCACACTAAGACCAGCACAAAGTAAATAATCAAGATAACAAAGTCACAAAGCCACCCATCTGGATTCAAAACACAGTTCAACTATCAGAGAATCCAAGCTAATCTAGAGAGCTCTGTTTGATTACTACATCTTAATTTACGTACATATGAATTTCTATCCCAAGTTTACTGCTAAAAGACAAAAGTAGTAGATAAAAACAATTCAATTGCTTTTAAATGGAGGCTAGATGCATAATTTATTTGCCATCAGAAAAAGAACAGAGTCGTAAAATAGATTTAACTAAGCTTCCTACCTCATACAATGATTGCAGAGGTGGTGAGAATATAATTTAGAATTGAACTATGTGTTATACTGAGCAGCTAATATGTGCACTAAGCAACACGTACAGGATTCAAGATCAGCTTCCATGAGTGAGGGGAAAGTTAATTTTAATATCATTAAGGCTAACTGGTTTGTTAAGATTATACTCTATTTAATATTGTTTGAGGTAAGCCTCCCTGCATATTTCTAAGGATAAAAGGAATGGGACAGAAACCATCTAAATAAAAAAATCTGATACCATACAAGTTTGCCCAAATATTACAATTCCATGTGAGCAGACCTCTTAAGAGAGAGAAGAAGATTGGATTTATACCCCACCCTTCACTCAGAGTCTCAGAGCAGCTTACAAACTCCTTTCCCTTCCCCTCCCCACAACAGACACACTGTGAGGTACGCAGGGCTGAGAGAGCTCTTTCCAGAACTGTCCTTTTTTAAAAAATAATTTTTTTATTATTTACACGTGTAAAACAGAAATACAACCCTCCACCAAGACACCCACAAACCCACCTCCACAAATCATCGTAAAATCAGATCCATCGGCTATTCCTCCGAAAATTGTAACTAGTTTAACAAATTATTTGTAATACAAACTTCCTCAAAAGTTCCTTTCAATCCAGTTGTATACATTCGACCACATTGTTTGAAACGTTGAATTCATCCTACCATGGAGTTTTTGAGTTAAATTATCCATCTCCATGACTTCAACCATTTTATTAATAAAATCCCATCTATCATTTCCAGAACTGTCCTTGAGAGAACAGCTCTGACAGAACTATGGCTTGCCCAAGGTCTTCCAGCAGCTGCAAGTGGAGTGGGGAATCAAACCCGCTTCTCCCAGATTAGAGTCTGCGCACTTAACCAGTACACCAAAGTGGCTTAAATGTGTACCTCAGTCCTTGTGCATAACATATGGATCTGTCCTCAGATAGGATGTACTTAGTGCTAGCAATAAGGCAGAGGAGACAGAATTTAAGAAGCAAAAGAAACAGCCACACAAAACATACACACATTTCAGTTATTTTAGCCAGACCATCCCCATTATCCAATTAAACTATTCAAGTTCAAAGGACTCTGCATGTCAATTTGCTAGATTTGCAAAAACTACTTTGGGCCACCCTGTATTCTCTCTGATGGGAGCAGCACATTTCCCCTGAACACTAGAGCACTTCCATCCTGTCACAATATTTAGTTCCCCCATGAATGAAGCAGCAGCTGTCAGGCACACTGATCAGATCTGTTTCCTCTCCTTCAAAATTCTCTAACAAATCAGAAGGCTGTATAAAATGTTCAATGGGTCAAAACACACACACACACACACACACATACATTAAGGGCTGCACTGCATCAGTTAGTTTCCTCTCTCAAGAAAAGAGGCAGGGAAACTTTGGTCTGGAAAGTTAAAAATTATGAACCTGAAGAGGACACAAGGACAGACTATGCTTGGTGGAATAACAAACAGAAAAGGTCAGCATGCAAACAGAGTCCCTCCCATCTCTCACAAAGTTCAATAAAATTAGCAGATGAAGCTCATACTATAGTGTCTCCAACAGTTCGAGATGAGAAGGCAAACTGCCCTTCATATGCCACCCTGTTGTAACCTTTGTGGACGAATTAAGACTTTGGACTTACTTCTGGGCATTTCCTGATGGGGAATTTCTCAGTTTGGGGTTACTGGAATGCATTGACAGAAATCCTAAGCACACAGCCACACACACTGATTGGCTCCTGTCAAGTTCCTCTAGGATGCCTGCTATTGCTGCTGGCAGTTTTGAAGCACTTTCTGTCCCGTGCTTTCCTCAGTGCTGTCGATATGCTTGTCTTTTTCCTCTTTTCTTCTCTCCGTTGTTGCACTGGGCCTTTCCGTCTTGCAGCTCCAGCATTCTCCAAATGTGTGACTCCTGCTGCTGTGAGGAAGTCTCGCATCTCCAGGGCACACTGCACCAAACCAGCCAAAGAACAGTAGACTAGTAAAAAGAAATCTCCAATTAACTAAATTAGATCAATCAGTACCTGGTGATTCTTCCAGCTTTCAACTGAAAGAGGAGGGTGAGAAATGTTCAGCTAAGTGGAAGTTGCATGTACATAAACAATTAAAAGTAAATGTTTTTCAGACATCAGATATTTAAACAACCAGGTGTACTAGATTTAACAGATAAAAAAGGGGAAAGCTTCCCTGTAGTCAAACCCAAATCATGTACAAACACACATCAGCAGAAGCAAACGTCTTGGAAGTCTGAGCCTTCCAAAAATACTAGATACCAGCCACAGCAATAAAATCTAATTCTAGATTTGCAAGACCAAACCTAACACTAGATTTAAACACAGGCAACAACTATTCTAGTGCAGTGGATGGTAGAACTGAAGGAAGGAGAGATGGGGAGGAGATGGGGGGGGGGGGAGAGAGAGAGACTTTTTTCCTAGTTGCAAATAATATTCAACCAGGATCACAGTATTTGCTTCCCCAATCTGACCAAAAGTTCACTGCTTCTACTGAAAGTGTTACACATTCTTTGAGCTGCCAAGTCAAGTTTTCCAATCTGTTACCAACAATATTTTTAAAAACATTTACTGTGGAAATTTAGAAATACCAGGCATCATGTCAGGTGTTGATTTTTTTTAAGCTGTTTGATCACAATTACTAAATAGATCTAAAGTATTTTATCCTTCAGGCAAAAGCATTCTGGAATAATTTTGTATCTTGTCTTTCATAGCAAAAGTAATTTATTGCTAATGTAACAGTACATACATTTTTACTCAAAATTAAATATTCCTTTTATAATTCAGCAAACAGTTTGATGGGTTCCAACATGTTAGGAAGAAGCTACTGTTTTAAGGAAACAGCATTTAACAGACAGATTTGTTTTGAGACAAGCAGATACCTCTGAAAAACTAAGGTATCTGGTGTTGCAGGAACATACTGCAAATTATGAGACCAACTAGGTATGATAGTAAATTACTGGTACTGAATTTTGCCTCAACATAATGTTACATCAACATACTTTGATGAGATAATTTTGATGTGTTGTCTCAGCACTACTTTACTTTGCTACCTCTTCATCTTTTTGGAAGAACAATGCTTACCTAGAGTAAGAAATGCTTAATGATCCCTACAAGTTTGCCAGAGGATCCCTACCTTTATTGCATTATACAAACATAGAGTATTGTTTTGCCTATAGCAAAGAACAGAATTTGCCAATCAAACCTAAATTCTAGACAAGTCACATCACAAGACAGCTAATACTAACCCTGATGCTCAAAAAGATAGAAACATTTCTGTGCCAAAGATGGTGTTGTATTTTACATGAACTGTATACAGACAGCAACACCCAAGGCCATGTTCTCACAACGGAGAAATTGCCCTGAGGCCTACACCTTGCATTTTACCTGGGAAAATACGTTGATGTTCATGAATCCTTTATTGTTATCCCACTAATAATTATTTTAAGAATAAATTCTTAAATCATTAGATCAAAACTACTGAATTAGAATATGCAGCAGGGAATGGCATTAACTACCAATGTCAAAATGCAGGAAAGATCACATACCTGTTGTGTCCCTTATTAAAGCCAACAAGAAAGTCTTAGCACTGACCATCACACTACATGGATTTTTACTTTATCAAGCATTTTTATAACTAATGAAAGACCTTGATAGGCTAGAAACCTGAGGTGAAGCCAAATGAAATTCAGCAGAGGCAAATGTAAAATTCTGCATTTGAAAAGATCTTGAGATTACAGTTCATCACAAGCAGAACATGAGTCAGGAATACAATGCAACTGCAAAAACAGGCTAATGTGATTTTAGGTTGTATTATTAGAAGCACAAGTACTGATAATTCCACTCTATTACATGGTAGTCAGAACTCATCTGACCACACTAGATGTGTGTGTGTGTACGTGTGAACTGGAAATGGATTTGGTGACAGAAACAAAAAAAGATGTTGGGGAGCGAGGGCAGGTTCTTGTGCTCTTCAACTGCATAAAGGGCAAGATGGCAAAGACTTGTCTTCTCCTCCAGAGGACAAGAGTACATCTAATGGGTCTGTCACAGAAAGGCTGATTTGGCCTGAACATTAGAAGAAACTTCATAATGCTAAGAGCAGATCAGTAATAGGACCACTGACTGAGGGGGTGGGGCCTTCACGTGGAGGTCTCCAAGCAGAGGCTGGACATTAGCATTTCCCACAATGAGTAGCAAATTGGACTAGATAGCCTATTAAGGCTTCTTTCAACCCTAGAACTCCACAGCTTGGATCCACAAAAAACATTCCCACATAAGGAAGGATTTCCAACCACAGAGCATGACTTTCTCCCCTCCCCTCCCATTGCAGTCCAAAATGCTCTCCAGAGTAAGAAAGTCACACTCCATGGATGGAAATCCTTTTTGGCTACAGAAATGCTCCAGTGAATCCAAGCCTAAGGTAAGTGTGCATGAAAGGGATATTTTATATGTGCAACCAGAACTATACGAAGTGTGTGTTTTTAAAAACTATTCTACAAGAGGATTAAAAGACAATAAAATACTGATCAAAAACATTTGTCCTATTAACAGACTATTTTTAACCACACAGCCAGTTTGGTGCAGTGGTTAACTGTGCGGACTCTAATCTGGGAGAACCTGGTTTGATTCCTCACTCCTCCACTTGCAGCTGCTGGATGACCTTGGGCAAGCCATAGTTCTGACAAGAGCTGTCCTCGAAAGAGCAGTTCTGGAAAGAGCTCTATCAGCTCCACCTACCTCACAGTGTGTCTGTTGTGGGGAGGGGAAGGGAAAGGAGTTTGTAAGCCACACTGAGACTCCGAGTGAAGGGCGGGTTATAAATCCAATCTCCTCCTCCTCTTCAGAACATTAAAATATTTACTTAAAATTACTTGATATGTGAAGCACGTTGGTAAAAACACAAGATCCTCCACATCATATCTGGTGTTGCAATTGTCTTTCATGAAAAACTCCACAGAAGTGGCTTTCTGTGTGTTCTTGTCCTTGGGACAGCAATGCTTCTGTACATTGCTAGACTTACTCTACTGCCACATGTAATAGTTAGCCTGTAAGTTTAAAAGTGATTTCAGTAACAAATACTCAAGTCAGCTTGAGAGCCTATGTCCTTATAAATCCCCTAATTTTCACTTTTACATGCAACTTACCAGAACTTCACTGTCACAACATGATGCTGCTCATCCTGAAGGAGACTCTTTCAGAAGTCCTTTGCATACAAATAAAGTTCACCTGAAATAAAACAAAAGCATCACTAAAGAAGGATCCATAGTAAAAGAGTCTCCTCCAACCACACACACCAGCAAGGGATTGTTATGTTAGCTCAGCCATACAGAATTTCTGAGTACATATTTAGCAACAGGGATGGGCACAAACCAGCTGACGAACTAAAGTTTGTCACAAATTTTGGCTGGTCCATAGGATTACCAAATCTCGCCAAATCAGGGCGGGGGATCCGCATGTCTTCGCAGAATCCGTGCCGTGGGGACGGCGAGACGCATTGCACCGCTGTTGCCAGGACATGACGCTACACGTCGCTCTGGCGACAGCGGGTGCAACGCGTCTCGCCGTCCCCACGGCACGGATTCTGCGAAGACATATGATCCCCCGCCGCGACTTGGCAACCCTACTGGTCCATGGTTCACAAAGCGATGTTTGCAAACTGAAGAGCCCCCATGAAGTTCCACAAATATTGATGCAGGTTGTGGAGGTTAGTGAAGAGCAGAAAGACAGGGTTTACCCCTGCTTTCTGCTCTTTATGAACTGGTTTAAAAACAGCTCAGCTGTTTGGTTTAAGCTTTCTATTCCCCATGAAAAGCCGTAGGTTCAAACTTTAAATGGCTCATGAACCAATCTCAACTAGTTCAGTTCACAAACCAGCATATTAGTTTATGGTTCCCCAAACATGTGGTTCATGCCTATCCCTGTTTAGCAACTTTCTATGCTCCTACTCTAGAAGACAGTAACAGGAAATAGCAGTCACAAATGGCAGGAGGTGCAGGTGCAGTTGCTGATATTCACCTGGACTTCATGGTGAATGCCCCCTTGGTAAGCAGACAAGCTTAACTACAAGGCAGAACATCAAAATAGGTAGACTGCCCTTTAATGGTACAGCAGAAAGCTAAGAAGTCCCAAGAACAGAAAATGGTGTCATAAGCAGAACAGTACATCCGGTTGTTATAACACTACAGTTCGCAAAATCTATTTTGCCCTGCATGTATTGAACTTGCAAGTTGCCCTGTAGTTCTTTTGTATTCTCTGTTTATTGGTCTATTAAGACACAAACTCCAACCCATAGCATACACAATCAGGATGGATACTTCACTTGTTTTAGTAGCAATCACCAGCATCATCAATAGAAGTAGCATCTTGGATCTGCAGCAGAGGTTAATTAACCTAAAATATTTTGTTTATATACTTCGACTTAAAGTAGTAGTTGCGGTAGATTATCAAAACCTGCAGAACAATCCTATGCAAGTTTTCTCAGCTGAAAATCCTATCTTGGGGCTTACTCATAAGTATTACACAGAACTATCCAATTGTGGCACAATTCTAGAGATGTTAGGTTAATAAGATTTGAAAATATTCATTTGTCTTCAATATCCAAGACGTGAAGTAGACAGGAAGCAGTTAAAAACACTAACAGTAATCAGAAGTTTGAGATTTGGGAAACAGAATGTTCTTTCCTCAAAACATTGTATTCCAAGAGTGAAATGGCATCTCCAACATAATACAAGAAATCCATCAAAATATCAGAATTTGCATCCTGTCATCCGTGTTACTTGTCCTACATGCAAAGATGTGCTACTCTGGAATGAGATGATATCCTACTAAACTTGCTTGGTAATAAAAATATTATGACTGGTAGTTCCCCGTATTCTGATGCAGGTGTCGGGGATGGGGAGGGAGAATAGCTGCATGAGCCTCAAACTAGTTTACAGAAGACTGCGTCATGCAACCTTTGAGGTCACAGATTCTCCTTATACACAGCAAGAAAGAACAGAGTTCTGTGGTGTGATGCCCTATGATCAGAACGAAGCCTGCTCCTCAATCCCACCCCTTTCCTAGTAAGCCTTAGGAAATACAGCATAGCCTTTTATTCCCACAGGCTTCATCAATGCACTGACTTTTGCACTGAAATTGAATGCAATATTGTGTCTGGAGCTGAATGACCAAGGACTAATGGGTCAAAACGTCTTCATGGAAAGAATACACAAGCACAGAAAAGTGCCAGTACAACAGTTCTGAGCAAGAACCATTCAGAATGTAAATCTTGCTTTGTTCTGCAAGACACCACCACTTCAGCAATTTATTTGATGCATTTTATCCTGCCCTTCCACCATTTTATCCTCACTACCACCTGTGAGGAAGGTTAGGTTGAGGGATAGCAACTGACTCAAGGACACCCAGCAAGTTTCATGGAAGCATGGAGATGTGAACGTAGGGTCCCCAAAACTCTAGTCTAACCTCTATACTGGAGGTATCTGCAATATGAGGAGCCAGTTGTAAGTATAGCTTCCATGTAACTTTTACACAAAATACACATTGGGACAACTGTACTTGGAAAGGTAGCACAGCTATGTCTGGTGTTCCACAATTATGTAGTAAATAGTTGCTGCTAGAAAGCATCAAGTAACATCCCCAGCAGTTACCCTTCCTTAACATGTTCATGGAACGCAATCTGATTTTTACAGACCACTGTAAGCTGGAGATAACAGTACTTTTAGGAACTCTATAAAACAATAAAAGGCAAGGTAACAGTACTTTTAGGAACTCTATAAAACAATAAAAGGCAAGGTAAGAAGGCAAAAGAGTTTAACCACAAACTTCATTAACATGAGGAATCAACAACAAGCAGAGAAGCTGTGCCAACACACACACACACACACATAGAATTTCTCTTTATCTTGGCAATCACTAAACTGCTGTATGATATCCAAGGGCAATCTTCACTGTTCTCCTAAAGGGTGGATAATACAGTATCCTAAAATCAAATTCCATAAGTATATACAAGTTTTAGAGTTATAGAATGCAAATCGTAGTACAAAAGGCAACTAATTTTCAGATTAGTATAGAATGAAACTGGGACAGAGGTCAGAATAGCAGCAGAAGACACCCAAGAATAGCTCAACAAGGAGCAGGCTATTCCTTAAACCATCCCAGTAAGCTCCAAAAAGGCTGATAGGAATAGTATAATGGAAGATTTTTCTTCACTTACCGTGAAGCTTCCTTCACTCTTCGAGAATGAAGGACTGCCCCACTCCCAGGACCACAAAAAATATACTAGACCTGGATTTGTAGGTACCCACTGTATGTCAATATTTTAAACTGGGAGATTTTTTTACCTTAAGACTACTGTCTTTCTAGACATGGGACCCACCTATAACCCCAGGTGTCAGGATGGAGCTCAGTGAGCTGCAGCCATGCAAATAGGAGTATATGCCATTTGAACAACAGTGCAAGGTAGGACCTCACAGGTGTCAAGACCACAAGAAGAAGATCAGATGAGCTATGAACAGGAAACACAAGCTGAATCCTAGAAGATGCGCCACAGTGAGTACAAAATGAGGATCAGAGACAGGGAGATTGAGGTAAGAACCCAGCTACACAGAGAATGGTAGGAGGGAAAATCTTTGCATGCAAAACATAAGAAGACCAACTGGCAGGGGGAGGAAGAAAAAGGAGCCGTACATGTCTCTGAAATGGCATATGCTAAAGAAGAAATCCTGTTAACTGCTGAATGACCTTGCCTTGCTCTCCAGCTCCTGTCCACATTATAGCAGCACCACCACCCCATCAAATAAGTGATGGTTCTAGCACTGCCCTAAGGAAATGTACCATGATAATCTTACATCTTACCACTAGAAATACCTATCAAGAATTCTGAGACTGGTATTCCTAAAGTGGTTTGTTTCCCCATATGGCCAAGGAGCTTAACCTCAATAATAATTATTTTCTCCAGAAATTTAGCTGTCAGATCACTCCCGATCATTACCTTAATTCATAGAATAATGTGCCAAACAGAACTGTCATAGAGCAGTTCAAACATTTCCCCTTATTTTGTTTACAAATATGAACAGAGCAGAAGAGTTTACAATTGCATTGACGGAAAAGGTCTGCACAGGTTACCCCTTTATTTAAAGGCACAATTCAAAGTGCTAAGTTAAGGCCTGAATTGGGGCCAGGTGCTAATGTCCAGCCCTCCCATAAAAATCCTCTTCTCTGTGCTCGCAGCCTACATGTTCAACGTAGCTGGAAACCAGAGTCAGAGCCTTTTCAGTGGTAGCTTCTTGTCTCGGAAATGCCTTCACTGTTGCCAGGTCAAAAAGATTTCCTTTACCCAGGTTTTTAAATGAAGGATTTTATCTTTTCAGTTTGCGATTTTTATGATCTGCCTCTAGCCTGGGGGCTGTTTTAAGGAAATAATTTTAGGTTGCTGAATATTGTTTTATGCCCCTGACAGGCTCTTGGATTGTTTTTATACTGGCAATTTTAGTGCGTCGCTTTTAATGATTTTATTGTTTTTACTTTACGATCCACCTTGAGCCTGTCTTAGGAGAGGCAGTATATAACATTTCCTGTATAAAACACCACTTTTAACTTGGGGAGATGGAACAAAAATCAGGTTTGATGCCAACAATTGCTACCGCTTGATCATGCTTAAGCTGCATGATGCAGCAGCATGATCCAATGCTAGAAAGCAGAGCAGAGCTGACAGGCTAATTTTGAGACACTACACAAGCCATACTGAAAACAGCACATAAGAAAAATAATTGAGATTTAATCTTATGCAATCTATAGTAGCTGAAGACTTTTGATTACAGTAGTCTTAACTTGAACAACTTTAGCCATTAACAAATTCAAGTGGCCTCCTACACGAGAAACCAAAACAGTTGGATTCATTGAGATACTTACTATCTATGCTGTTAATATCCTATGACCATCTGATTACAGAGAGGTAGCCTATGGATTTTAAGCCTCTGCAGGACCTGGTCAGCTGATATAGGGGTCTGTGGCAGAACAGGCTCTGTCTGGCCTGTAGGTCCCGTTCCACCCTGCCCTCCAAGGTTTTCCCAACACTTGGAGAGGGTTTTCTTTTTCTCTCAGGTAACCACTGCCACCACCTGACCTTTGTAAGGAACTGTCTACTGGCAGTGGGGCCAGGACTCCCAGCTTCCCTTCCAAGTTCTGAAGCCTTGCCTCTGAGTCCCCTTTTGCACCCCTGGAGGAAT